CGAGTTGAGCGTGGACCTGCAACTAGGATGAAAAACAAAAAAACACATTCCAAGTTACAAGTCGAGGATGGACTTGCTACTGGGACAACTATGATCCCATTTGCAAGTCGAGGGTGGACTTGCAACTGGGACAACTAAGAAATTATGAGGCTAGTTGTGAGTCAAGGGTTGACTTGGAATTGCGATGAAACAAATCATGGAGCCAGTTCCAACTCAAGGGTGGACTTGCAACTATGATGAAAAACAAAAACAGAGGCTCTAGTTGCGAGGCGAGGGTGGGATCGCAACTTGGATAACTATGCACTCAGTTGTGAGTTGAGTCTGGACTTGCAACCGGTACAACTACAAATATAGTAACCTATTTGCGAGTCAAAGATAGACTCACAACCTGGATGAAACAAACTATGGTCCTGGTTGCGGGTCAATGGTGGAGCTACAACAGGAACTAGGAGGAAATGCAAAATATAGGCCAGGTTGCAAGTCAAGGGTGGGCTTGCAACTGAGATGAAACAAACTACGAGCCTATTTGCGAGTCAAGGGGGGACTTGCAACTGCGAAAACTACACAAAACTATGATACGACTTGCGAGTCGAGAGTGGGCTTGCAACCGAGAGAACTACACAAAATTACGCTACGAGTTGTGAGTCAAGGGTGTACTTGCAACTCGTACAACAACAAAAGTATGGGCCCGATTGCGAGTCAACGGTGGACTTTCAGCTGGGGCAACTACGAAACTAAGAGCCCCAGTGTGAGTCAAAGCTGAATGTGCAACTGGGATGAAACAAACTACGAGCCTACTTGCGAGTCAAGGGCGAACTTGTAACCGGGAAAACTACATAAAAGTATGATATTTTTTATGAGTCGAAACCAGTTGCGAGTCGAGTGTGAACTTGCAACTAGGATGAAAACAAAACACATGCCCAATTGCGATCCAAGGGTGGAGCTGCAATTGGGACAACTACGAGCCCATTTACGAACCGAGGGTGGAGTTGCAACTGAGAAAACCACGAGTCGAGGTTGGTCTCTATAAATTCTTCACTAGGCCATGAAAAAAATGCATAATGAAAAGAAACAAGCGAAAAAGAAATGGGCCACGCTCCCCAAACGACGACATATATGGGATCATGTAAAAAGAAACAAGAGAACTAGCCGATAGAAAACAAAATGTGACAAGAGGATAGAGACAAAAAAGAATGAGCTAAGATGGGCACGAGTTTATGCAAACATTAAAACAAGCAAATCGAACAGTTATAAACTTAGATGAGACATCACAAAATCTCATTTAGATGAGATTTAGCAACTCAAAAGCAAAACACAAATCTACTTATGCTCTCCTCTAGCTACACAGTTGAACCGAAAATTAACAAAACAGGAAATAAAAAGACACACAAGCCTCCATGAAAAAACTAGAGAAAAAAAAACAGGAAAAATGACCCACTCAAAAAGGTCATATCGGTCTTCACTGCTTCACGAGGGACGAACAAAGAACATGACACAATGACAGAGAGCCTCAGAAGCATGTATATCTAACGTTATATGAGTTAGATGAGATATTGTTAACTCTTATCCAGATGAGAATTAGCAAAATCAATCCGAAACATGACGCCAAATCACGCCGTGAAAACGACCCAACGAAAGATGCACGTGCGAGCAGGCCGGCAAGTAGACACCAGACGCAATACGTGACATGGAACCCGCGCGACCAAACAACGCGCGATCATGATTTACATGACATTTAGACAAAATACACGATAGAGTGAAAATTAAATTTGAAACAAATAAATAAAGAATAAAACAGAAAAAAAATGAAAAGGAGAAAATAGAAAATATAGATAAAAGACAAAAATCTTGAATTTAAAATACTTCATAATTTAAACAAATAATGAAACAGAAAAACAAAAATGGAAAGAAAAACCGACCACAAAAAGAAAAGAATGCAACGCCCATCGAGAAACAGAAAAAGAATACAGCCCATAAGTCGGGTGGGCTATGTGTAAAAAAACATGGACAAGGTGTGTATTGAGGACGGACATGGAACTAAGTTAGACGAGTTCTGTGTCAAAAAATATACATGTGACTAGACTAGATGAACATGTAACTGACCACAATTTCCTTTTGCTTCACTAGGTAACACAAAAGGTTCATTTATCCATTTCTTACTATGGAAAATATATATTCTAACAATGCTTGTGAGTTTGAAAATTTATTCGCAAATTTGTAAATATTCACCTATTTGATTTTCTTGCAATTAAAAAAACATAAATTCAAAACAATACACAAGAATTAAAAAATTAAGTTCAGGAAAGTTAGAAACAGTCACAGATTGAAAAATAATCAAGATTAAAAAAAGTTTAAGTACTGGAAAAATTCATAAATTTAAAAGAAGTTAATAACTTTTAAAAGCCCAAAGCCAAAAAAACAAACAAACAGCAGGGATGAAAAACGAGGGAAAAAGAACGAAGAAAAATATTGGTCCATTTGCATGTTGGAGGTTGACATGGAACTGGGACAAGCAGGTGCGGGCCTCTAGTTATGTGTCGACGATGGACGTGTAACTGAGACAAAAAATGTGTCGGGCCAAGTTGCATGTCGAGGGTGGACGTGCAACTTGCACAAAAAAGGTCACCCCCAAAGTTGCGTGTTAGTGGACTTGCAACTATGACGAAAAATAGGTCGAACCCTTATACATGTTGGTGGTGGAATTGCTACTACCACAAAAGTGTCAGGCTCTCCTTCTTCCCTAATTTCATATCAAGGATGGACTTGCAACTGAAAAAAAATGGGCACAACAACATGTCGGGAGTGGAGTTCCAACTGGGACAAAAATAGTTTCCCCTCCCATAGTTGCGTGTCGATGGTGTACTTGCAACTAGGATAAAAAAAGGCGACCCAACAATTGCATGTCGGGGGAGGATTCACAACTAGAGACAAAAGTTGGTCGCCCCCTAGTTGCCTATGGAGGGTGGACTTGCAACTAGGAAAAAATAGATCTGGTTGCATGTTGAGAGTGGACTTGCAACTTGGAACAACAAAAGGCGGGCCCGCAGTTACATGTCGGGGGTGGAGTTGCAACTGGGATAGAAAAGGGGCAGACCCCCTGTTGCATGTTGGGAGGGTACGAAACTAGGACAAAAAATGGATCGGACCCAGTTGTATATCGAGGATGAACTTGCAACTGGCACATAAAAGGCAAACGAATTGCATGTCAGGAATAGAGTTGCAACTAGGACAAAAAAGACCACTCAATGAAAATCATAAAAATCACAAAATCCCTAGATGAAAATTGGGGAAAGAGTAATAGACAAAATGGATACAGGTCACTAATCGCATCATCACTAACTACCATCTTCTTATCGCGAGGACAAAGATTAAACTCCTAGTCGATTGCCTTCTTCCTGCTCGTGTCGGCTCTACTGGATGACAACCGGACACAGGACGTACGACGAGACAAGAGACACACATGATAGAACAACCCGCTAGCAAGATTTGCACAATATTTAAAGAAAACATGCTCAACGGTCATGAACTTAGATGAGACATTGCTAAATCTGTTTTTAAGAAACACAAATTGGAAAAAAATGGAAACAACAAAATAAAAAAAAATTAAGAATCACGAATTTTGAAAATAAATGAAAAAGAAGAAAAACAAATTTAGTCAAGGTCGGTTGAGCTATAGATCAAGATGGACGACTGGTTCGGGTGAGTTATATGGCAAGGACATACATGGAACTCAGTCGGTTGAATTTCAGATAAACAAAAAAAGACATGTAATTGGGTTGAGTTGCATGTAAAAAATGAACATGGAAAAGGAAATAGAATAAAATATTCACAACAATCCTAGAGCACAAACTAGCGTCCCTTGCGTGTCGAGTGTTTAACTGGAGTGAAATAGAAAAACGAGAAGCACTTATAAGAAAGAAAAGATTTGACACCGCCCACCTTACAAAAATAAGCCTGCATGTTCAAGGCCCTATGCAAAACAGTTAAAAAAAAGGCCTGATGCAAAAGAAGGTCAAGCAACAGCAACACATGACAACGATGCACGACAAGGCCCGGAGTCGCGAATTTTGAAGACAAACAATTGAAGAATGGATGACTTAGATGTGAGATCCTACATTACATCTAGATGTGATATAGCAAATCTAAAGAAAAGAACATGAAAAGGTTCCCGCACATAGGTCTGCCTTTGCTTTGGATATACTAGCACATATGCCCGTGTGTTTCAACGGAAAAAAAATGATATTTTATGCAAGCATAATGTCCCACAGTAGCGGACTCACAATGAAGAACATGCTGCAACGCCACATCCTTCTACAAAATGAACATAAAAAAATACGATGAAATTTAGCCGTGTTCATATTTTATTTGACAGGCATAATCTTCCATTGATTTTATTTAAATAATCCTTACTTTAATTACCATGATGGTGTTCTCTTTAATAGTAGGTATAGATATGTTTGGTGTTCTCGTGACGGTTGTTGGACAGTTGGAAGCCGGAGAAGCACACGGGCAGAGCTGTGGCATTGCTCTTTACTGACGCGGACGTGGCCTCGGGTCGGCCCGGAAGGCACACAGGTCACACGTGAGCAGGCAGGCGGCGTTGCAAGGTAACCATCGTCAGGACGGAGGATGCTACAAGATAGAGCTGTGATTTCACGTGCCGTGAATGTTGTTCAGGCCCTTGGGGGATACGTATTGATCCTGCTGCAGACGGACCGGACGTCGCCCTCTTCTTGCTCTTGTTTTTCCCCCACGTCCGTTGCCGTTGTGAGCTGCTGTGCCGTAACCTTCGCTCGTGAGCTGAGGCTACGAATTTTCCAGAGAGAACACGCCCCAGGCCCCTAGTAGCGATCTTGTTAATTTAAGGAAAGGCCCATGCTAGTGAGAACGTTGTAAGGTTCTAAACCCAAACCCCGACACTAGCTTCGCTTCTGCGTCGCGCCCAGTGCAGTGCATGCTCGCGCTCCTCGATTCAGCTCTGCTTCACGCCGCCGCGTGACATGGTGAGCACGGCGCCCATGCCGCCGCCGCCGCCGCAGCTCAGCCTGGCAGACCTCAGGGCCATGTCGGTGCTTGGCCACGGCGCGAGGGGCGTGGTCTTCCACGTCGTGCCCGTTGTGGCGGCAGCTGCAGGCGGGGGCTGCTCCGCCGACCAACCCATGGCCCTCAAGGCCATGTCCCGCGCTGCCGCGCGCCAAAAGAGCGCCGCGGGCGAGCCAGCACCTGGCGGCGACGGCCTCCGGAGGATCTGGTTCGAGCGCGACGTCCTGCTGGCGGTCCGCCACCCGCTCCTGCCGTCGCTCCGCGGCGTCGTGGCCACCGAAGCCGTCGTCGGCTTCGCCATCGACCGCTGCGCCGGCGGCGACCTTAACTCCCTCCGCCGCCGCCAGGCCGGGCGGGCGTTCTCCGACGCCGCCATCCGTTTCTACGCGGCAGAGCTGGTGCTGGTGCTCGAGCACCTCCACGGCCTTGGTGTCGTGTACCGTGACCTCAAGCCGGACAACGTCCTCATCCAGGGCTCTGGCCACATCATGCTCGTCGACTTCGACCTCTCCACCAGCCTACCCCCTCCGTTGCCACCACCGCCGCCTGACACTAGTTCTCCATCTCCCAGCAGCTCGCTTTCGCCTAATTCCTCACGTCGCTGCAACTGCAAGCGCAAAAACAACAAGACACTGATTTTCGGACACTTCTCCTCTCGACGGGCAGCCTCGCCGGAGTCGTCATCGTCCTCCTCCACCACCTCCAGGGCGGCCTCTCCCGCCTCGTCGTCGTCTTGCTGCTCGTCGCCAGGCGCGCGGACGAATCCGGCGAAGTCGAACTCGTTCGTGGGGACGGAGTACTACGTGGCGCCCGAGGTTGTGGCCGGGAGCGGGCACGGCAAATTTGACAAATTTGACCTATAGACGAAATCAAATCATAGAATGAATTATCCGTAAAACTATTTCACGTGGCTGACCTTTTTGTGTGATGCCTGCCACGAAGGCGCCACACTACACTGTGCAACGCCTCAGAGATAGGCGCTACACGGCCAGCGTCGCACACGTGTGATCAGAAAATTACTAAGTGGTGTGCAGCGCCTGAGAGCTAGGCGCCACACTATATAGTGTAGCGCCTAGCTCCTAGGCGTTGCACTAGTGCAGCGCCTAGCTCCCGGGCGTTGCACTAGTGCAGCGCCTGAGAGCTAGGCGCCACGGGTCAACCGAGTGAAATAATTTCACGGACAGTTCATTCTGTGATTTAATTTCGTCTATAGGTCAAATTTGTCAAATTTGCCAGCGGGCACGACTACGCGGTCGATTGGTGGGGCCTCGGGGTGGTGCTCTACGAGATGCTGTACGGGCGCACACCGTTCCGTGGCCGGAGCCGGCGGGAGACGTTCCAACGCGTGCTCACAGTTAGAATACTGATGTGTATTGTACTGTGTATTGTACGAGTGCGTGTAGTTTTCCCTGTCAACACGCACGACCTCCACTCAATGGCGGTGCCAGGAATTTCTTCCTTGGTATTCATTTGTGCAATTTTATAGCAATATAACAACAAATATACAGCAAGCTAGCAGCAGTATACCAATGGATTGGCAATTCTTTGGTATTCCATGGAAGTCCAGGGAAGACCCCTGGCGCCGCCACTGCCTCCACTCCTCGTCATGGCCTTGCCACGATAGTGATCGTGGGCTCGCCTCCCCTGTATAAGTTCAGCCGAACCCTGTGAATACAAGTGTGTTCGATCTCTTCCTCTCAAACATGGTATCAGATACTTCCCCTTCCGCTGCTATGGACACCAACCCCGTCTCGTCTCCTCGTTCCTCCCACGACGGCGACGGCGTTCTGCACGACGCGGCGGCGCTACCCCCGGCGACGGCGTTCTCCACGACGCCATCCTCCCTGATGCCGCGGCAGTTGCCGCCGCCACAGCTGTCGCCCGGTGCCTCTGGCCCTTCGTGCCTTCCCCTCGTCTGTCCTCCAGACGATCGACATCCGCCATCACGTGCCCGTCGTCCTGGATCTCCACGGCGGCAACTACACCCAGTGGCGCCGGTTCTTCAACACCGTCGTCGGCATGTTCGGCGTGCGCGAGCACATCCTCGCCGAGGCTGTTCCTCTCCGCCAGCGCCGTGACCCTGAATGGGACATGATCGATCACTGCATCGTGCACTGGTTGTACGCCACCATCTCGCCGGAGCTCGTCGACGCCGTGATGCAACCGGAAGACACGGCGGCCACCCTCTGGGCCGCGATCGAGAGCGTCTTCCGCGACAACCAGCTCTCGCGTGCGGTCTACCTCGACGCCGAGTACCACGCCGTCGTCCAAGGCGACCTCACCATCATGCAGTACTGCGCCCGCTGATGAAGTCACGTACCTAGGGTAGGGTCACGGACCTGGCCAAAGTACCCTCCCCAAGGACACCTTCAGAAGAAACTGCCGTCCAGTCGACCAAGAGGGATTCCACTCGACAGACTCGAAGGCACTCGACCATGAAGATTCACTCGACCGCCAGAAGATCAAGAGCCACTCTGCATCCGAACGGTCTTTAATTAAATAGCCTTTTTGGTCATGATGACGCTTTATGTAAGACGTTACCAATAACGCCCATCTTTATGTACTTTAAACCCTGCATAACTGAGGGCCGGAGGGGTCTGGCAGACACTATATAAGCCACCCCCTCCTCAGTGTAAAGGGTTCGCACCCCTGTAATTCATACGCATATAATCCAGTCGACCGCCTCCGGACTCCAAGACGTAGGGCTGTTACTTCCTCCGAGAAGGGCCTGAACTCGTACATCCCTTGCGTATACAACTGCTCCATAGCTAGGATCTTGCCTCTCCATACCTACCCCCCATTCTACTGTCAGACTTAGGACCACGATAGTTGGCGCCCACCATGGGGCAGGTGTCTTAGCGATTTTTGGAGAAGTTGCAATCGTTCCGATTGTTTTCATCATGGTTTCGGGTGGAGTTTTGGTCGAGGGACGCGAGATCCGTCTCGGCGCGCTCACCTTCATCGCCGAGGACTCCGCTTGGCTCCAGGAGGCTCCACTCGACATCGACGCGCTCCCTGTCCGCGGCGTGACGCATTTTCAGGCGTGTGTCCGCGGCGTTCTGCTGCGGCAACCGTCGACTCCGTATCGGACGACTTTCGTGTCATCCTCCCTCCCGGTCTCCCGCCAGCGCAAGCGCACTGGTCGGTCGAGGCTTCAGTGGTGGGTGAGGCACGCTGTGGCTCGCCAGTCGTCCACTACCCAAGTCGCGGCAATTGAGCCCGACGAATCTCTCTACGGCCTGTTCAATCTGTCGACTGGCTCCGTAGAGACTGCATCCGAGTGCGATAGCAGTGATCCAGCGGCGGAGGTCCTGATGGTCAACGGGCCTCGTAGCCCTCACGGCTTCCCCCGTGACGACGGGGTGGACGGTGGGGGCGACCCCGCTCAGGCGCATGAGGAGTATCAACCCGAGCCACTTACTTCTCTGCAAAGAGAAGAACTTCGCCGCAGGAACATGGATGCCCTGCATACTCCCATCGCAGGAGAAACTCCCGAGGCGCGAGCCTTGGAAGAGGCGCATTTGGCCAACTTGGCTGAACGCACTCGACTGGAGAACCTCCAGCGAGCTCTTGACGAGCGTGCGCGGCAATGGGTACCCGACTCCAGTCGACGTCAACTCTTTCCGCAGCCGACTCAGGTATATCGAACCCCGATTCAGAATTTAGCAGCTGCAACCCATATAGCAGAGTCAATTCAGCCCTCTCAGTCAGAGGCTGGTAGAGGCTTGATGCAGATCAGAGACTTGCTTAGAGCAGCAGGAGATCAGAATTCAATCGTGTCACAGTCGCGCAACAGGATTCACAGTAGATCTGTCGCTGCGAATACTGTTCAGTCGGCTCACAGCCCAAGGTCACCTCCGAGGCGCGTGGGACGTGAAGGCCAGCGGGATCACTATGATGACCGATTTGATCGTGATGATAGGCGTCGGGTGCCCACTCCTCCCCCGAGAGGAGGGTCTAATGTCCATCGACAGCAAGATGACAAGCGCCAGCTCAGTATTGGGCGGAGAGCTCCGGTTGATCCCAGGGAACCAGGCTTTGACGCGAGATCCATCATCGTGCAGGGTTTGGTCGACCGGAACAGAGCTCACAGAGGTGGCCATGATAGAGATGTGCCCACTAGCAGTTGAGTCCATGTTTCGGGTCCAGAATGCTTTAGCAGAGCCATCAGAGCCGCAGTAATACCCCCCAACTTCAGGTTGGCGACTGGGGTAAGTAAGTTCACCGGAGAGTCCAAACCTGAAACTTGGCTCGAGGACTACCAGGTGGCGGTACAGATTGGTGGCGGTAATGATGAAGTGGCCATGAAGCATTTGCCACTCATGCTAGAGGGTTCGGCCAGGGCATGGTTAAACCAGTTAGCTCCTAGCAGCATTTACACTTGGGAAGATCTTTCCCGAGTGTTCTTCAGGACATTCGAGGGAACTTGCAAACGACCGGCCGAATTAACGGAGTTGCAAGTCTGCGTGCAGAAGTCGAGTGAAATGTTGAGAGATTACATCCAGAGATGGATCACTTTGCATCATACCGTGGAGAATGTGTCGGACCATCAAGCGGTCTGCGCCTTCAAGGATGGCGTCAAGAACAGAGAGTTGATCCTGAAGTTCGGTCGGACCGGAGATATGACCTTGAGTCGAATGATGTAAATCGCCTCAAAGTACGCCAATGGTGAAGAAGAGGACCGACTCCAGAGCGGCAAGTACAAGCCGAGTCAGTCGGAGAAAGGAAACTCCAATCGGAAGCAGAAGCGGAAGGCCGAGCCAGCTGCTCCTGGAGAGGCTCTGGCCGTGACTCAGGGCAAATTCAAAGGAAAGCCCAAAGGATCTTGGAACCCCAAGAAGGTAAAAGATAAAGAAGGAAATGACGTGATGGATCTGCATACCACTCGCCAGTGTCGGCTCTTGATCCAGCAGTTTCAAGGCAAGCAGCCCAAGGACAAAGAGAAGGAGTCGGACAAGGCCGAGGACAAGGAGGACAGCGATGGAAGTTACCCCCATGTCAATTCCACCCTGATGATTTTTGCTGATGTAGAGAGCAAAAGTCGACTGAAAGTGATCAACCGCGAGGTGAATATGGTCGCCCCGATGACGCCAAGCTATTTGAGATGATCGCAAACTCCCATTACATTCGACCAGTCCAATCACCCCACTCATATTGCCACCCCTGGGAGGCAAACGCTGGTGGTCGACCCAGTCATCGAAGGCACTCGGCTGACGAAGGTATTGATGGATGGCGGCAGTGGATTGAATATACTGTATGCAGAAACGCTCAAGGGAATGGACATTCCGATGTCCAGGCTCAACTCCAGTAACATGAGTTTTCACGGAGTCATTCCTGGAAAGAAGGCTGAGTCACTCGGCCAAATAGCTCTGGATGTAGTGTTCGGCGACTCGAAGCATTTCCGCAAAGAGAAGCTGACTTTTGAAGTCGTAGATTTTCAGAGTGCTTACCACGCTATTTTGGGGAGACCTGCTTATGCACGGTTCATGGCTCGACCGTGTTACGTGTACCTCAAACTGAAGATGCCCGGCCCCAAAGTTGTGATCACTGTCACTGGCAATCGGAAGAAAGCAGAAGAGTGTTTTCAGAAAGGCTCGAAAATTGCCGATTCCCAGATAACAATGGTAGAGCTGGAAGGATACAAGAAAAATGCAGATCCGAGTGAGTTGTTGCGGGCCAAGAAGCCTGCCACAGAATCAGCATTTCAGTCGTCTGGAGAGACGAAACCTGTTCACATTCACCGACCGATCCCAACGCAGCTCCGACCCATATTTCCACAACACTCGACTCCAAATAGGAAGAAGCGCTCATCCAGTTCCTCCGTGAGAACTGGGATATCTTCGCATGGAAGCCAGCTGACATGTCGGGTGTTCCCAGGGGGCTGGCTGAGCATCGCCTTAGAGTCGACTCAAAAGCGAAACCTGTTAAAGAACATCTTCGACGGTCCGCCATTCAGAAGAAAAAAGACATTGGCGAGGAGGTGGCTCGACTCCTTGCAGCAGAGTTTATCCGAGAGATATACCACTCCGAGTGGCTCGCCAATGTCGTCATGGTTCCCAAGAAGGACAACTCACTTCGCATGTGCATTGATTTCAAACATATCAATCGGGCCTGCCCGAAAGATCATTTTCCTCTCCCTCGCATCGACCAAATTGTCGACTTGACCGCGGGGTGCGAGAGATTGTCTTTTTTAGACACCTATTCTGGGTATCATCAGATCCGTCTGTATGGACCTGACGAAATCAAAACAGCTTTCATCACTCCATTCGGGTGCTTCTGCTATATCACCATGCCATTCGGTCTCAAGAATGCCGGAGCCATGTTCATGAGGATGATTCAAAAGTGTCTACTCAC